TTTTTTGAGTTGGAGTCTCACTCTGTCACCCACCCAGACTGGAGTGCAGTGGCCGCTCCCAGCCACCGCCGCCTCATCCTGCTGGGCTCTGGCGAGCCTTCCAAGTAACTGGAACTATAGGCATGCACTACCACGCCCAGCTAATTTTTGATTTATTGTAGAGATGGGGTCTCATCAAGTTGCCCAGGCGGGTCTTGAACCCGAGGGCTCAGGCAATCCACTCACCGCAGCCTCCCAAAGTGCTGGGATGACAGGCTGAGCCACCGAGCCTGGCCGGTTTCCCACTTCTAAGGTCTCCGCTCTACCCGACAAAGAAAGAAGACCTGGGTGTAGACAGACTGCAGTGGTCATGCTGCACCTTGCAGAAGAACTCTGAGGTTGTCTCCCTTTGCCTCAGTTTACCACAGGGGCAAATAAAAGTACACTTGAGGTCAGGTGCAGAGGTTGAGGCAGGAGGACTGCTTGAGCCCAGGAGCCCAAGACCAGCCTGGACAACATAGCAAGACCCCATCTCTACAATGTTAAAAAAAATAAAAAATAAAAATAAATTGGTACAATCATGAAAAAATAAGAGTGAACTTGATATTAGACTAAACTGGCCAGGAACATTTTAAAAAATCAAATAAAGATGAACTATCATTTCCTCTGGAAATGAGATTCAAGGTGAGATTACCTCTGGGAATTTTTATGATAAATTTACATTTAAGGCTGGAAGCAGTGGCTCATGCCTGTAAAATCCCAGCACTTTGGGAGGCAGAGGCAGGAGAATGCCTGAGCCCAGGAGCTTGAGGCCAGCCTGGACAACACAATGAGACCCTGTGTCTACGAAAAAATAAAAAAATAAGCCGGGTGTGGTGGCACCTGTAGTCCCAGCTAATGGAGAGGGTAAGGAAGGAAGTTCGCCTGAGCCCAGGAAGTTGCGGCTACGGAGAGCTGTGATCGTGCCACTGCACCCCAGCTGGGCAACGGAGCGAGACCCCAACTCGAAAAAAAATTTTTTTGACAAGACGCGTCGGCTGGGGACGGTTACAGAGAAATGAGAGACGTCCCGATGCCTGTGGTGCCCCTAACAGGGCCACTTCCTCCTTCCCAGAACTCAGCCCGAGAGACACCACGCAAGGGTGGGCTCCCCAAGAGACCCGAAGCCAAGACGGGAGGCCCCGGGGAGAGGCCCCAACTCCATTCGTGCTCTCCCCGCTCCTGCTGGGGAAGCCGACCTGGCGTGGCCTTCACGACCTTTTCTTTTTTTTTTTTTCTTTCTTTCTTTTATTTTTTTGAGTTGGAGTCTCACTGTCGCCCAGACTGGAGTGCAGTGGCCGCTCCCGGCCACCGCAGCCTCGACCTGCTGGGCTCCGGCGATCCTGCCGCCTCAGCCTTCTGAGCAGCCGGAACTACAGGCGCGCGCTACCCAGCCCGACTGATTTTTCGATTTATTGTAGAGATGAGGTCTCGTCAAGTTGCCCAGGCGGGTCTCAAACCTGGGGGATCAGGCAATACCCTCGCCTCAGTCTCCCAAAGTGCTGGGATGACAGGCTGAGCCACCCCGCCTGGCCTGGTCTTTTCTTTTTCTTTGAGTTGGAGTCTTACTCCGTCGCCCAGACTGGAGTGCAGTGGTGGCTCCCCGCCACCGCAGCCCCGACCCGCCG